TATGTCACAAAAAAAAATTGCTTAAAAAATATCTATTTTATATATAAAAAATAAGATTTTGTACCGGTAATAATAATAATAATAATAATAATAATAATAATAATAATAATAATAATAATAATAATAATAATAATAATAATAATATACCGTTGGAATTTAAACGACAAAAAAGAAAAAGTGAGGGAAACGTAAAAAAAAAAAATTATCATTTCTTGAAACGCGGAATTCTTTCTAACGTGTGAAAAACCGGAAATGGTTATTTAAAAATCCCGTTAAATTTTTATTTAAACTTCCGGTATTTTATTTAAATAATTTTTGGCGCGAATCGAATAATCGAATAAAATTTTCCTTTTTTTTTTTTAAATTAATTTTACTTCGAACGAGAGCAAATAAAATAAAATAAAATAAAATTTTTTTCCTCGCGTTTTATTTTATTTATTTTTTTTAATAAATAATAAATTTTTTTATTTTTAATAACTTAATAAATAAATCATATTTAATCTAATTTATTTATTATTATTATTATTATTAAAAAAATTTTTTTAAATTTTTATTCGCATAAAGAAAACTCGTTTCGTGTATGCGGTTCTATTCAATACAATTTTTTTTTTTTTTTTTAAATAATTGATTTAAAAGTTTTTTAACCTTTTTTTAATAAATAAATAAATAAAATAATATTATTAATGTTATTTAAATAAATTAAAATAATAATAATAATAAATTATTTATAATTTTTTTTTTAATAATAATAAAAAATTTTACACGTTTGTTGTCAGTAAATTGTTACGAAAAAATAATAAAAAATTTCCGTTTTTTTTTTTTTTTTATACGTGATTTATTAAATTATTATTATTATTATCATTATCATTATTATTATCGATAAAAATTTATCACGCGTAATAAATAAATAAATTATGTATGATTATTTTATACGTGGCGAGCAAATAAATAATTTATTTTTTAAAAAAATTAAACGTTTTATCTATATTTGAAAATAACAGTAATTTTCACGGGGGAAAAAAAAAAAAATTTTCCTATTACGTCACGTCACGTGATTATATATTAATAAAATATACTTTATTATCTCTCGAACGTTTTTATTTGAGGGGGGGGCGGAAGGGGGAGGTAACAAATCCTTGTAATTCGAACGTTATTTATTAATAAAAAAAAAAAAATTTTTTTTTTTTTTTTACAATTGCAACGTTTATAATAATAATAATAATGAAAACAACTCGTAAATAATACGTTGTTAATAATAATAATAAAAGTGTTACGTATTTAAATAAATGACTCTCCGGGTATGAAAATGGCGATGAATCAAATATTATTATTATTATTATCACCATAAGTCTCGACGGTTAAGATTCCGGCGCCGATTTGATTTACATTAAATTTATGACTTTTTTGCTGGGGTTAACAAAAGTTTTGAACCCGGCAATAAAACGCGTTAAGAATTTTTTTTTTTTTTAAAACGTGGACCGAAGGGCAAAAAAATATTTTTTCACTTTTGTTTGTTGTTGACCGAAAAAGAAAATGTCGATCATTGGCCCCCCCCCAAAAAAAAAAAAAACGAAACAAAAAAATTTTAAATTCGTTATTATTATTATTATTTTATATGCGACAAACGATTAAAAAAAAATTTTTTTTAAAGCCTATAAAATAAATCAAAACGTTTAGTTCCCTCCTCTCCCCCCCCAAAAAAAAAAAAAATTTACTTTTTTAAATGGGGAGTCATAGAGAAAGAAAATTCATAGAGTAATAAAAACAATTATTTCGTAAAAGCATTTTTTTTTTTGAAAGAAAAACAAAAGTTAATGTTTAATAATAATAAGAAAATTGTTGTTTATTTTCTTTCAATTCCAGTAAACAATTTTTTTTTTGTTTGTTGTTTGTTTTCTCTCAGAAAATAATAACCGACATTGAAATGTTAGGAAATTAAATGACCCGTGAAAAATAAGAAATTTTTTTTTTTAATATAAATTTTTTTTTTTTTGTTTTTGAAAGGAAAGACTATTGTTATTGTTTTTTTTTTTTTTGCAAACCTGAATGAATTACGTTTAAAATACGAAAATTATTTTTTTTTTTTTACAACGAAATAAATTACGAATGTGAAAAACAAACAAACAAATTAACAAACAAATTTATATAGCTGAAACGGTTGGAATTATTTTTTTTTTTTCTCCAATTAATAAAAAAAATTTTTTTTCTTTTCCAGCCATGAAATTTATTATTATTTTAAAATTTAAAGATTGTTATAAGAAGGTGGATTGATTGATTGATTGATTGTTACGTTACGTTACGTTGCAAAATAAAAAAAAATTTAAATTATTTAAAATTAACGTTTTGTTTAAATTATAGGATGAATTTTTGTTTGTATGATTGATACATACACGAAAACATTTTTTTTTAGCACAAGGTTTTCTTTTTTTTCTATTGGTACGTGAAAATAAAAAATCGTTTTCCATTCTAAAAAGTAATTTTCCACGTTTTTTTTTTTTCACAAACAATTTTTTTTAATTTTCGTGTCAAAAGTCAAAATAATAACTAAGTAAATTTATCTAAAGTTACGAAAAAATATTGATTGCATCGGGAAAAAAACAAATCGTTATCGAAAACCGCGAAATTATTCAAATTCTCCTGCCACGACAAAAACAAAATAAATTTATTTAAACGATTTGGCAACATCGTATTTTTTTTTCTTCGGAAAAATGAGACGTATATACGATTTATTATAATAATTAATTATTCAAAAAACAAATTTTAATTTTTTTATTTTAAATTACGCGCCAAAAATTTACAACTCGAGTCAAATAAACAATTTTTTTTTCACTTCTTAGAAATTCGAAAAAATCGAAGAAGAAAAAAAAATAATAATGAAAAAATTTGGCAAAAAAAAAAAAAAATAAAATAAAATTTTTTTTTGAGGAGGAGGAGGTGTTGAGGAAAGGGAGGGAGGAGAGGGAAGG